CCCCAAAACCCCAAAACCCCAAAACCCCAAAACCCCTCAGTCTGTCTTAACTTTTGAAAATATTATTTGAAATATTAATAAATTTTATCTTTCCCATTCCTTCGTCATAATGAAAGACTCTCTTGAGAGCTATTTCCTCCAACATCTCAAAGCTGAGCGGAAGAGAAGAACTAAAGAAAAGAGTAAGTTTCATTTTTCAAAGGGTTGGTAACCTTCTGGAAAATTCTGAATGATTTTTATTTAGAAGAAATTAGCCAAAATCATCACCAAAGTCATAATAAAAGTGGATTAAAAAGTAAATCAAGGTACGTTTAGAGTCTGATTTATGATTTAGTAGATATAATTACTCCAAGTCAGCACTGGGATATCATGTAAGACACTAGTCGTTATTTTAGCCTGCCCAATTGTTTGATAAAATGACTGATGAGCGAGAGGGGCGACAGAATAGACGAATGGTCAAAGTTGACAGTCACTCACACCTCAAGGTAACCTTCTATCAGCAATTTAGAATGCAAGTCTGGCTCCAACTGTCAACACTATTAAGCCAAGGAAGGTAAAGAAGTGTACTAAAAAGGCGCAAATGACAGCAAAGCGACTGGCTGCATCTACTCTAGAGCATGATGAAGACCTTGATAACAGTCTATTTAAAAGTTTCCATAAGAAAACTCCTAATACTAAGCACTTGGAGTTTCAGGATATGAAGTCGAAGAGTCGTAAAAAGACAGCTAAGATGAAAAGTAATGTAAGCTTTCGGAAGAGTTATGAGGTAATTTTATTACAGCAAAGAAATAAGTCAAAGCATAAGCCAAAAGGGAAGAAGGATATTACTTTTTCCCAAAGCTCGAAGAATAAGAAGGTCCTCATCAGCGGGAAGCCAACCCCTGAGCCGAAGAATTATTTTATCAAAGATAAGTTTGCCTTTGGCCTCAAGCCTGAGACTAAGACTTTTGATAATTGAGGCAATATTTTGAATGATAAGCAGACAAGTTCTACAATAAATTTGAATACAAATAGCAAGAAGCATTCAAAGTCTAGGAAGAGGGAGAAACCATGGAGTAGAGCATTTAGAAAGCGAGAGAGCCCTTACTCTTCTCAGACAAAGTCTGATCATATTAGGTCAAAGAGTTCATACGTCAAGGGACCTAATTCTCTGAAGTCAATATTTCAAATTTACAGAGAGAGTGGAAATAGCGGCAATAATTCAAAAGAAGTAAAAGTTGCTAGGAAGATCAACACTTCCCTACCTATTCAAATCAATAGGGAAGGGTTTAAAATAGGGTGTATCAATTTTAAGATGAGGAAAAATAACACGAAGGCCCGGAAGATCTCTAAGCACAATTCGATACCTTCTCAGAATCACTCATTGAACACTAGAAATAAATCAAACAAGAGATCAGATCTGGCTGACAAGAGAGCTCTGAAGGAGGAAGAGTTTGGAACTTTAATAATGAACGAGTACCATCATAAATTTGCAAAGTCTCCTACTGTACAGAAGCAAAGAAATTTTACAAACAAAATATCTGTTGCGAGGAAGAATGTGTTGAAATCAAAGAAAATGCCTAATGAATCAAATGTGTATGTCCATAGAAAAACTCCAAAAAGCAAACTGAAAGGCAGGAGGAAAGAAATGTATAAAAATAATGATACTTTGACTAAGAGTTATCATCCTGTAAGCAACACTGACCATAATATCTACTCATCAAAGTTCTTGGAAGGACCTAGGTCTAGTAGTCAGGCTAATTCTATGATATTTCCTCAAAGACCTGCTTCTAATTCTTCAATGACTGCAAATACAGAATATACTGTTAGTAATAAGATCGAGACAAGTCAGAATTCGTTAAGACAAGATGTTATGTCAGAAATTAAAAAAAGCGCAAAGGCTAACATGGATCCTGTGCTTTCTATACAAGAAGGAGGCACTCCACTTGATACTAGGTTTACTAAGAGCTTGCAGATCCAGTCTCCAAGTTCTAAATTTAGCCATCGAGAAAGCCAGCCTGCTGTAAAGTCTCCTGCTAGGAGGCTTTACTTGAAATATAAAACTTCTCTCCATGGGCATAAAAATACTGTGAACAGTTTGGCATTTGATACTAAATACTACTCACATCTGTTCAGTGGATCCCATGACTACAGTATCAAAATATGGCATTGAACTTCTTTCTCTCCAAGAGAAGGAGTCAACGAGGTAGCACAATCCTCAACAGTTGATCGGTGATATAAGACACTGAATTTGCACACAAAGAAGATAAATTGACTCAGGTACCTTCCTAATTCTTGTGTGCTTATCTCTGCAGGGGCTGACCAGAGACTCTGACTCATTAACACAGAAAATACAGAAGAGTTTGATACAATAGCTATTTTCAGGAGAAAATTTGGCCATATAAATGATATGGTTTCATTAGCCTCAAGTGGATATGAGCTTGACGAAGCCAAACTGATCACTTCCTCGTTAGACAGAAAAATCAGGGTTATTGATCTGAACAATGATGGTAAGGTAATCTCTGATTTCTCCAATCCTGATGGGAAGGCAAATTGTCTGAAGATGCATAACTCCAGTAACTTTTTACTTATTGCTGATGACTCGAAGAAAATAAAGCTATGGGATATAAACTCTGGAAAAATAGTTAGCACTTTTGCAGATTCTTGAGGCAACAAGACATGCATTGAAAACTATGATAATGATACTTTTATTACCTCGTCTAGTGACGGACTTCTCAGCATGTGGGATTACAGAATGACTCGTAAAGTTCTGAAATCTAATGTAATCAAAGAAAAGGAAATCAAGGGTCAGCCTAATTGAAACATAAATCAGATTCTATATACCAACGGGATCATTTTCACAGCCACTAATCAAGGAATCGTGCTAGGTAAGATTCAGATTTGGTAGTAATTTTATGCCTTCGGGTCGATTTTTGATACTAGGAAGTTCTTGAAAATTCCATAAAATTATCATAAATACGAATATATTCTAAAATAAAATTTATAACTTTTACCAAACTGGGGGCGATGAAAATGGTATTTTAAAGAGATTGTTTGTATTCTATAATACTGATTTATTATAGTAAATTCCAAAACTTTGGGAGAACAAGAGTACAAAAGAAATCACCAAGGCGGCGTTAACTCACTGGTATATTCAGAGCTAGATAATATGCTATTTTCCTCTGGCTTCGATAAGAGTGTCATAGTTTGGGATATGAAATAATTTAATCCAATATCTTGTGAATACTAAGGGGTTTTGGGGTTTTGGGGTTTTGGGGTTTTGGGG